TAAAAAACAAATAAGTGGACCTTGAGTAAACCTTTGTTTACCTTTTATATTGATTTAGCGCGTCATCTCTGGGTGGGCGTGGCCGCAGATCCCTGCGCTCTGATTGGTCGGCTGTGCGCTCAGTGCAGTGGTGAGGACGGGTCGTGTTGATCTCAGAAGTCATCATGGCGCTCAGTTCCCCAGTCAAAGGTAAAGAGCTGTCTTCTGCTAACATCACCTAGAAAGCCTACACCCATCACGACAGGCATCGATTAGGAAAGACGAGCGTCCCCTAAACAGCGGCCTCTGTTTTCTCTCCGTTAACATAAAGTGTACCGGCGACCAGCTGCTGCCAGCCATTGAAGCTAACATTTGGAGCTAACATCTGGAGCTAACATCTGGACGGCTACCCATCTGGAGCTAACATCCTCGGAGGCTAACATTGGAGCTAACATTAAACAAGAGCTGTTCAATTAGCTAAAGCCGCAAGCTAAGCTTTATACACCTTTTAAAAAAAATAACACAGCTTTAGCTACTTTCTGTCTCACGTTAAACGTAAAAGTGTGTGTAATTTGTCATTTTCTTATCTCCTGAAGGCGTGCAGCCGCAGCACGATAAGTGGTGAGTTAGTTAGCGAGTGTGCTTCCCGATAAGGACTAGTGTTAGCGACTTGAGCCTGAGCTAGCTTTGTAGCTCTCTAAGCTGTGATCGGGACACACACAGGATGTTCACAGACACACTGCCACTTGTACAATATATCACACTGTGTGATTAAACAGATGTGTTAAACTAGACGAGGATTGTTTTTTCTAGTCTTAACACCTAACTAGATAGTTAACGTGTCTTGTTTGTAGGCCACCGTGAAGATGACATCGTATGATTAGTGTGGCATTGAGTCAGTTGTGTAATATTTGATGCGTATCAGTACAATCAGGTGTCCATAGGGATTTATCTCCAGAGGATCTCACTAGTGATCAGACTGTTTTTGGTATGTTTTCCGTTCTGCTTTGCATTAGACAGTGGATTTTAGTTTTTGCATACAGTTATTTAAAAGAGGTGAGCACACTAGCTGACAAAAGCACCTCAGTGAGTGTTGAAACATGGGAGAGATATGTGAGCTGGTTGGGAATGATCTGACTAAAATATTATCCGGATTCCACATTAAATGTGTCATTTGAAATGGTTGGATGTTCACATTTATATAGCGTATGTTTTTAAATGGGATCCCTTACACGCTGCCTTTCACTGCTAAATATGTTGCGAGGAATCAAGAGCACCAAAACTCTTCTTATGTCGATATGCGACTATGATTGTAAAAGCTTTGTTTTAAAACTGGTTTCTGCTTCTTGCTTAGCTAATGACAGCATTTAGTTTATTTGCCTTCTTCTCCAACAGCAGTGAAATATGGTTTAGAGGAAATACTGCAGATGAAGAAGATATGAAACCCCCTACTGTGTCACTCACTCAGATTGTAGAAATTGGACTAAACTGTTTCTGTTATATGTGTACTTGCAGCTTTTCCCTTAGTGAAAGTGTGTGGCCTTGACTTTCACCTGTGCAGCATTGCGTTGTTCTTTTTTGTGTAAATCACTTGGCCAGTTGCTTTCAAAGCTAGTAACCTGAGCCAGAGTTACAGCCTAATGTCCTGTTGTGAGAGCAGTGAGTAGTGCTGTGCCAAGACTCAGAAGATGACTCTGTCCGTAGGGGCTCAGCACTTGCTTAGCTTCATTTTAACACCACGTCTGAAAGGAGATTTTCATCATTATTAAACAGCTAAAACATAATGTACCAGCATTTCTCTTTTAGCCCAGACCTCCAGCACACATTCTCCTCTCCTGTCTCTACCAATCTGATGACGTAATTGTGTTTCTCCTACAACCAGAGACAATTTTACGAAAATATTTTTGCCTGGCTGCTGCAATTTGTTGTTTCTAACCTTTAGGGTAACCACATCCTGCATGAGCTCACTTTACTACACTTTAAAGACCTCAAAGGAAGGAGTCAGACCAGAGAGATGTTTCTCTTTTCTCTGCGTTTACATTCTGCACCCCCACTGTATTCTTGAGACAAACAGCTCAGCTACTAGTATTAACCACTAATACAGCGTGGTATGTAGTAAACCAATTGTATAGAAACACCATGTGCACAAATGGCACAAATAAAATGGAGGCCTGCTGCCATTTTCTTAGAGACGTGCCTTGTTTTTTTTAGGAGTTCCCCTTTGGGTAGTTGTTAGTAAGGTTAGGCTGGTAAAATAAGAAGGCACAGGGCTTAAGTAAACCTGGATAACCTGCAAGCAGACTAAGTTGGTCCCCTCTGGAAATGACCTGTACTTGTCTGGAATTAAAGTTGTATTGATACATGTTTTTCCCTCTGCAGAGCACCCATATAGCCATCTAACTGACACCCTGCAAGATGGCAGGATCAAGTTCTTCAATCCACAGAAATTAAATGATCCAAGATACGGTGAGTTCAGGCCCTCTGGCTAAAAGAAAGGGCACGCACATTTTAAACCTGCTGTCTGTCGAGACCTTGTGCAGGTAGCATTCATGTGAATGAGATCTGCACGATGTAGATGTAGTATGTATTGTACAATCGAAATCCATCAGCCTTTTGTGTTATACAAGCATCATAATATGGTTGTGTGCATGTGAACGGTCTTATAAAACGTGTTATTTGTAAACATACCTGTAGATGAATGTGTGTAATCAGCTGAGTATAAGAATCGTTGTGTGTTTGTTAACTTAAGAAGAACTTAAGAATGAGCCGTTGTTATCTACAGAGGGAGTGGGCTCTCTTCCACAGACAGTCAGGTTTCTACAGTAACCCAGAACGGACAAACTAAACACGGACTCTAGGTCTTTTACGTTTTTCGTGGGCTTCACGGCCACACACTTGGAACGGGAAGGCGGTGTAATCTGCCACTACTCTGCCCCTAAACCCTACACACTGGACCTTTTTAATTAAACACTGTTTACTGTGGGGAATGAAACCACCCTTTTCTGTTTGCTCTGTGCAGACAAGCTGCCTCTGTCCATCCGTGTCTTACTGGAGGCAGCAATCCGTAACTGTGATGGCTTTTACACAAAAGAGGAAGACGTCCAGAACATACTGGACTGGCAGCAACAGCAGAATAAAGCTGAGGTGCCGTTCTCTCCAGCGCGAGTCCTTCTCCAGGACTTCACGTGAGTTTCATGAGGACTTGGGTAAAATAGCTGATCCACCAGGAGTTTGAATATTAGCTCTTGTGTCATCATGATCTCTCTTTGTGCTCCTTGACATAAACAAGTTCAGTTTCTTCCTGTTAATCCCTGAAGGACGGCTGGGTTTCATTATTTCCCTTCTCCTGGTTTCCTCTGACAGTGGTATTCCTGCCATGGTGGACCTGGCAGCCATGAGGGATGCAGTGGCCAAACATGGCATGGACCCCAACCTGGTCAACCCTAAATGCCCCACAGACCTCATCGTAGACCACTCATTACAGATTGATTATAGCAAATGGTGCGTTTGCGTTTATATTTTCTCTTTATATCTTTTATTGACAGTGAGCTTAAGTAAATGAGAACGTACAGCCAAAAGATAGACACACACTCTTTTTTTTTTTATCCACAGTGCCATACAGAATGCTCCAAACCCGGGTGGAGGGGACGGCCCAAACCAGAGCCACGGCCCTTCACGATCCACGCCCTCCAGGCCTCTGTCCAGAGGAGGCTCACAGTGTGGGGGCCAGCGGGGCTCCTGTAGTAAAACTGCCTGCAGCGACCCTCCAGCCTCCTCGGGTCGATCTCCAGCGTCTGTCCAGCAGATCGAGAATACACCTCTCCTCTGCCCTTTCCACCTGAAGCCTGTGTCTGAGTGAGTGTGACGCAGGACCATTGATACGTGACTTACTCCACAAAGCAGTGAAACATTAGTGTGTACAACACTACTCGTGTAACTGTATCCTGAGATGGAAGAATGAAACCTTTTCAAAATGACACTTTTGTTTGTACAGCTTTAGATCTCCAAACTCTCATTAGAACTTGAAGAATCACAGGTCACCTCTTTTGTTTAAGCCCTTTTTAGAGTTCCTCTTTATCATGATTTGTTCTTTTCTGCAGAACTGATACAGCTATGAAGAATCAGGAAATGGAGCTGACCAGAAACAAAGAGAGGCTTCAGTTCTTTAAGGTACAGCAAAGAGCAGATGTGCTTTTATTACATCATACTATACAATCAGAGGGAGACAAACACTTGTTGTTCAGGGAAATATGCTTAAACAGGGAAACAGTTAGCCTGGCTTTGTGTAGAGGTAGCAAAACCCACCTACCAGCACTTATTTTAATGTGTGTTATTGTGTCTACACAATGCATGCAGGATGCAAAAACAAAACAAAAACACAAGTCACCATTTCATGGGTTTTAGTTCCTTGTTTTCAATTCAGTGTGCTTTGTTGGCATGAGTAGATAATATTTCCAGAGCATTAAGAAATGAGATTGAAAATAAAGTTAGCTGTAACTCTGCAAGAAAAAGAGAATAAGTGTATTTCACAAAATGTCAAACTATTCTTTTGTTTGTTTGGAACAAGGAGCATTTAATGCAGTCTTCATATTAGAAGTAATACGTTCAACAGTATTCAATATTCTGTCGCTTTCAGTGAAAATTTAAAGAACTTGGTCCACTTTTAGAGAACAGAGCAAAGGGTTTGTGCCTTGAGTGAGACACAAAGTTAAATGTTTTTCTAATTATTGCCCTCTTCCTGTCTGTCAACCAAACAGTGGTGTTCAAAAGCATTTAAGAATGTGAACGTAGTTCCTCCGGACGTTGGTGCGGTCCACCAGGTGAATCTGGAGTACCTGTCCAGAGTGATTCAGGTCAGCGACGGTTTCATCTACCCTGACAGTGTGGTGGGAACCGATTCACACACCACCATGATAAATGGCCTGGGCATCCTGGGCTGGGGTAAAGCTTTTTAAGACTTTAACGTTCTTACCAGTTGTTAACGCATTTGTTGTAACCTTTGTGAACTTTACAAGAACTTTCATTTACAACCATGTTTAGTTGTTTTTTTCTTACTCTTCCGAGTGGCTGGGGAAATAAAATAGCTGCTATTCAGGGATAGTAATCACAGTTTCTGTTGATTCACTCTACAGTGCAATCTTTGTTCAGTAAGAATGATTTCATTTTGTCTGCTTTCCTCCACCAGGTGTTGGGGGAATCGAGTCAGAAGCTGTGATGCTGGGCCAGCCAGTGTCTCTGACCCTTCCTCAGGTGGTGGGCTGTAAACTGGTGGGCACCATCAACCCCCTGACCACCTCCATAGACATCGTCCTCGGCATCACAAAGGTAACACTGCTTTGCTGTACTTTCTGTGTTATTAGGACTTCACACATGTTCCAGCGAGGCACACACAGTGGAGGACAATCAGAATACCACTAGATATAAGAATCATTTCACAGTTGTACATTTTTGAATCATAGAAAAGAAACTTGGCAAGGAATTGATTAGGGCTATACAGAATAGTTTGAAGCTTTATTCAAGACATTGACATTTAAATTCTGAATCAACATTCGAATGCCGCACAGGTCGGGAATGTAGCGACCACGTACCATAGCTGTCTCCGTCTCACTCCTCTGCTGTCGGCCTGTATAAAGAGCTGCCGGTGTGTGTATCTGTTTGACTGAGGGCAGGGAAGAGAGAGGACACAGCACAAACAGGATGAAGCGTGGCTGTGGCTCCTTCCCGCAGAGTTATGTGGAGGTGTGGCTGTGGGTTTTTATTGTGCTTTTGAACATGGCCGCTGTTTATTTCTCTGATTCACTGCGACGGCGAGAGATGTTTAAAGCTTCATTCGAAAACCTCAATAGACGCCTCAAATGTAACAAAAAAAACAACATTTGGTACAGCCCTCGAGTTTATTTTATTTCTATTTGTTTACAGGAAAAACCTTTCTTTTACTGTGTACTTATGTATCATATGCATTGATATTTCCAGCACTTGCGACAAGCTGGGATCGCTGGGAAGTTTGTAGAGTTTTTTGGACCTGGCGTCTCCCAGCTCTCAGCTCCTGACCGAACCACCATTGCCAACATGTGCCCAGAGTACAACGCCACTGTCAGCTTCTTCCCTGTCGACCAGGTCACACTCAGGCACTTTAAAAAGACAAGTGAGTCACTCAAAATGGTGGTTTATGCAGTCCAAGTTATTTTTTATTCTTACATTTTCAAGCTGAATTTACTGGGTATTTACTGCTATGTGTCCATGTTCAGAAATAGTAGTTAGTTAGTTAATTAGCATTTTTTGGGTTGTTAACTAATGTGTCATAATTTCCTTTCAGATTTCACCCAGGAAAAACTTGAATTGCTGGAGTCTTACATGAAGGCTGTAAAACTTTTACGAAGCTATGAAGATCCCTCAGAAGACCCCGAGTATTCTGAGGTAATGTATCAAAGCTTGTTGTGAATCCTCAGAGGATAAACAGATAGATGAGTGACAGTCATCGTTTTGCTTGATTACGCAGAATCAGAGATTTTTAAATTCCCCTTTTTGTGTAATGATGATTAAAATTGCCTCATGATAGCCATATTTGCAAAAATTACAAATTTAAAAGCATTCATCCACGTGCAGGTGATTGAGATCAACCTGAGTTCCATGGTGCCCTACGTGAGCGGACCCAAGAGGCCACAGGACAGAGTGGCAGTCAGCAGCATGAAAGAAGACTTCCAGAGTTGTCTTGATGAGAAGGTAACATAAAAAAACACAATAAACATTCTGCCAGTCTTCAGTATAACTCAATCAGATATTTGGGTTTAGGTTCAGGGTTATGCCGGCGATACATTGTTGACATCTTTATGTTATCTGACCGTTATCTAACAAGGAATTTGCTTTCCTCGGTTTCCCTGAAGGTCGGCTTCAAAGGCTTCCACATCTCTAAGGAGAAGCAGGACATCCGGGTTCCTTTCCTGCACTGCGGTCAAGAGTATCAGCTGGCCCACGGCTCGGTGGTCATTGCTGCTGTTATCAGCTGCACCAACAACTGCAACCCGTCGGTCATGCTGACTGCAGGTAAAGCCCTCAGTGAGAAGATGTCGATATGATCAGATTTCCCCTGAATGTCATCTAGTCATCTCATCTTTTTGGTGTCACATTTTAATTTACATAATTTACATACATTCCTTCCAGCATGAATCTAATTATAGTTGCACTCTCACCTTATTGCAGATTACATATGTACATATTTTTTCTTTTCTGTTACTTACAAGAAGTAGTATTCTGCTTTGTGATACTTCACTTCTCTGCGTGGCTTCTTACCACAGGCACATTTGCATAACGCAGCTGTTTTCGTGATTGACAGGTCTACTGGCCAAGAAGGCTGTGGAGGCCGGGCTTGTCGTCAAGCCTTATATTCGGACCAGCCTGGCTCCTGGAAGTGGCATGGTCACTCACTACCTCAATACCAGTGGAGTCCTGCCGTACTTTAGCCAGCTGGGGTAAGGATGAGGAAGGACACACAGATTACCCCTTTTAACACCAGGGCAGTGACCTGGGATGAACCTACATATGCAGTTTAAGTCCTTTGATATCAGTGAGGGCACCAGAAACACCTCTTTGTGTAATGCAGTACACTTCGAAAGCACCACAAACTACATCGTCCAAAATGCCCACACGGTGTAATGAACTCCTCTCTCAAACTGTTTTAACAAAAATTGAACGTTATAACCTTTGTGAAGATTTTACTGCAGGACTGTTGTATAAGACTGAATTGGTTTTAGTGTACCTAATAAAAACTATTATTATTAGTATTTTTATTGTAATCATACAGTAGGTTGTACTCTCTCTACCATAAATTCTGTTCTTCTGGAGTGTGTTGCACCGAATATAAAATCCAACAATAAGCTTGCGTCTAAAGTTATTAGTAACTAGAAAATGTGAGACTAGTGATTTACTAACTTGGGTTGCTTAGTTTTGTGGGGTAGATTTTAGGTATTTTGGTGCATAATGTTCATAATAATCATAGTAAGAGAAAAGACACATAACTCTGAATGATTTAATTTCCTCCCAAACACTGTTTTCCTTCCTTCTCTCCACAGGTTCGAGGTGATAGGTTATGGCTGTGCCACCTGTGTAGGGAACACGGCTCCGTTACCAGAAACTGTCGTGGATGCAATTAAACAGGTGAGATCTCCGTAATGCTAAAGTGGTATTGGTTAAAAAAAAAAAATAAAATTAAAACTGCCTCTCACAACAATCAAATCTTGATAATCTGTTGTGTTTAGGGAGACCTGGTGGCCTGCGGTGTTCTATCTGGCAACAGGCACTTTGAAGGCCGCCTGTGTGACTGCGTGCGGGCAAACTACCTGGCCTCCCCTCCCCTGGTGGTGGCCTATGCTCTTGCGGGCACTGTAGGAATCGACTTTGAGAAGGAGCCTCTGGGTAAGGAAGGCAGGAACTCTCTTAAGCTGCTCCTCTAAAACCTGAAGCTCACTGGATAATGTTCCTTCAGTGAACAATTCATGATTCATTGTCTTGTACAGACTTGCAGCAGCCGTAGAACAGGTGACAACAGTGTGGGTAGTTAAGTCGAAACCAGTGTGTTATCTGGTAGTAATCTGGTTTTTTATATACAATCAGTTCAGTTTGTAAGTCTGAATATATTACACACTGCCAAATTCTTGTGATGAAAAGTGTTTATGGGACTGCGCAGATGTTGACAGCTGTGTTTTATTATTGACACTGTTTTTGCTAACTTTGAGCATCCTGTTGTCGGTGCAGGTGTGACTTCAGAGGGGAAGGAGGTGTACCTCTGTGACATCTGGCCGTCCAGGGAGGAGGTCCAACAGACTGAAGAGGACACAGTCATCTCCTCCATTTTTAAGGATCTTAGAGGAAGGATGGAGGTGAGGGCATGATCTGTCTTTTTTCCCTTTGTGTATGCCCAATGTCGTCTTCATTTAATTCAAGTGACTTCACGATGTTCTAAATGTTTTTTTGTTCCCACTGTGCTCTCTCTCTCCAGCAAGGGAACACATTTTGGAACAACATTGAATGTCCAGATTCTGTGGTTTTCCCCTGGGATCATAAGTCCACATATATCCGTTCGCCGTCTTTCTTTAGCAAGTTGGTAAGTCATCCGTGTGTGTCTGCTGTTTCTCCTGATTTCACATATCAGAGTACGTACAGCAGCAGTTTACATAATAAGTGCTCATCTTTTGTCTCAGAGTAAAGAGGTGCCACCTCCTCAGTCGATAGAGAACGCTCATGTCTTACTGTTCCTCGGGGACAAAGTCACCACGGACCACATCTCACCAGCCGGCAGCATTGCCAGGGTCAGCGCCGCCGCCAAGTACCTGCAGAGCAAACGGTCAGTTTCAGATCAGACGGCAGGAAGATCAGAACTTTAATATTACAAAAATCTCACCACATGGTCTATTTATTAGCTGTTATAACAAAATCTTATTTCACTGAATGAAATCTCAGGACACGTTCACAAATAGTAGTAGATGACTCACCATATTATAGAGTAATATGGTGAGTCATGATAAACTATTAGAAGTCCAGACTAGAGAATACTAGACTCACAAAGCGTCTGCATCACCGTTCTAAATTAAGAGACCACGTATTTTGGTTGTTACCAGGCAATAATAAAGGAATAATAAAGTTGATTTATTTATACATTTATGGCCAGGTTGGTGAAGCCAATCCAAATTGTGCCTAGAAATATGATGAACAGTCTTGTTAATGACAACTACAAAAGTTAATTGTGAAGTTTTTTGTATAACTAAAATTGAAATGTTGCATTTGTATGCATGTATTTTCATTGAATAAATATTGAAAGATATAATGTGAATGGCATCTGTTTGTACAGTCTGTTGTCTGAATATGTCAACAAAATATGCACTTATTGTCACTGAACACTGCTTTTTGTTTATCCGTGCGCAGTGTCAGCTTTATTTACCTCTCACTCTCCTCTCTTGCTCAGCCTGACACCGCGGGAGTTTAACTCGTATGGCGCTCGCAGAGGGAACGACGCAGTGATGACCAGAGGCACCTTCGCCAGCATCAAGCTCCAAAATCGATTCATCGGCAAACCGGGCCCTAAGACTTGGCACATTCCTTCAGGCCAGACGGTGAGTGTAAACCTCTTTAAGACCAGTAACCTATGGGTGGATTCAAATACAGTTTTTCACCTTTGACCAAGATATGTAGTTTTTTGAACGTATTGACTAATACAAGCACTGCACGAGCATTGTGTGTGCCAAGCATTGTCACTTTCTGCACGTTCAGACCAGACTAACTGGCTTGTTTTGCAGTTTCAGATCTACTGCTAATAACATGTCTCTTCCTGTTTGTCTGATCAGTTGGATGTCTTCGAGGCAGCCGAACGCTATCAGAGAGACGGCATTCCCCTCATCATCCTGGCAGGGAAAGACTACGGCTCTGGAAACTCCAGGGACTGGGTAGCCAAAGGACCATACCTGCTGGTAAACTGCAGCACCCACACTTCATTTAACTTGGGACGCTTTCCTCACAGTGGTTACATTTGAATAATAAACTATCAATTTTAACGAATGCCTCACTTGTTTGTGCCTTACGCTTGTTTCTCTGCGGTCCGTAGGGTGTACGTGCAGTCATTGCTGAGAGCTTTGAGAAGCTGCACAAGAACCAGCTGGTGGGAATGGGCATCATGCCGCTCCAGTTCTTGCCCGACCAGAATGCGGACTCACTGGAGCTCAGCGGGAAGGAGAGGTTCACCATCACCCTGCCAGACAGCCTGAGCCCGAGGCAGCAGCTCACTGTCAAGGTAGGAAACAGGAATGCAAGAGGCATTCAGCACTGATTTATCCTGGTCAAATAAAATGTATTTAATTGATATTACTCTTTGTGGAGGTCAAGATGTATTAAATTATTTATATTTTTTACTAAGCACCGTAATTTTCAGAATTCAAAGATGAATATATATATAATAAAAATAATATAATATAACTTTTATTTCCATAAATGTTGGTTCAGTTATTTGCCATATTTTGACACTTTTTCCAAATCAAATAAGTTAAAGTACTCAACAATGATTTCCAAATAATATTTAACTAAATTAAACTGAGAGTGATTGATTTTTGGGCACAAAGGGCCAGAAAAAAAACACGGCCATAATGAGATTTTATTGACTTTATAAATCTGTTAAGTTTAATTTATGTAATTCACATGACACAAAGCTCGCATTGTAGTTGTGTTTATGTCCACCGGAAGAATTTAAGTCCATTCACTATGTTATAAAAAAAATATCTCACCCTTTAGCTGCTAATTGTTTGACTGCCATCACCAGCTAGTCACTAACGTAGTCAGCCTGCAGTATTGATGAACCATACAATAAATGTGCTCTAAAACCAAAACAATAAGGTCAAAGAGGCTAAAAAGCTCAGTAAAGCTGGATATATTGGTGATAAATATCAGTCCCTTTCACATTACACACAGCCATTTCAATTCAGTGTTAATATAAAACACACCCAGCTTGATATTGTGTGTTCTTTGAGGAGGAAACTTGTATTTGCTGACTCAAACAATCACCAGATTCTTGTCTTTCTTTTCTAACCAAGCTTTGCTTTAGTTATGTTATCAGTTATAGTATTTATTAGGGAGCAGTGACACCTCCAATAATTGTAAAATATCCTAAATCCAGAACAATGGCATGTTAATAAAAGCACTTTGATGAAAGGTTTAGTGAACGTTTTTTCTGTGCTGTCTTGCAGACTAGCGAAGGAAAGTCCTTCTTCGTCACCGCACTGTTTGACACCGAGATGGACATTATCTTTTTCCGACACGGAGGGCACCTTAGATACGTTGCTCGGACTTTGCTCTGAAACACCCCGCGACCCGGTCCCAAGCCTGCTGAATGTGCCCGAGGTTCATGAACAGCAGCCCTCATCATGTTACCTGTTTGTCTTCAGCATGAATGAAAATCGGAGCAACGGGAAGGCTGACGATTTGCCCGCTCGAGCTGGACGAACGTCTCCAGACTTTTCGGGAGTCGCGAAACGTCAGTTTTCAGTCCCGTTCCTGAACTGCTTCTCCATCACTACACATGGCTGTTTCATTTTCAGCAGCAGCGTTTCTCCTCACAAGACAGTCAAAACAAGCAGAGGAAGCGGTGACATTCACTCAGCAAGGATATTGTACCCTAGACGACCTTTGAACATTGTTTCTTTTTGTGTGTTTTACTGTTGGAGAGTGCTGAGGGGGACATTTCTTTCATCGAGGACTTGAGCCGAGAGGAAATGGATCCTGCCAAGGAAGGCTAACATGGTGCTAGGTACTACAGCATGAATACATTGGTGTTTTTAGGGTGCAATATAGCCGTATTTTCCCAAACATCCAGGTAAATTGTCTAATTTTGTGAATTGCAGAAATTTGCAGAATTGATGTCAGTTGCCCATATTTCTTATTGGGGCCAAACACTCTTGTGTAAATTAAAGTTCTGTTAATATTTCTTTTAATCAAATTTGCCTTTTGCAAAAAGTACAATTTTCTCCTTATTCACTCAACTTTTATTATCATGTGGAAAATGTGAAATCCCTTTTTGCTGTTGCTTGTATCACTAAGCTCCCTACATGAAGATGTCTCCTACTACAACTGGCAGTCCTCTGCATTACATTAAAGGTAAATTATAAAAGTTTTTCGGACTAAAGAATCCGTTAATGTCTATCCACAAAACAGCAGGTGCTTCTAACAGTCTGAGAATACATTCAGTGTCTGTACCCAAAGTATAACTCTAGAAGTGTTCTCAAAGTGAGTTATTAGTAAAACACCTGGTGCTGAGGTGAACCTTAGCTGTAGTTACACTTGTCATTTTGATTCTTTTAGATTGAAACCCACAGATTGTGTGAGCTCACACGCCTTAATCGCCTTAATCACCTGAATGGATTTTACTTCTGTATCCTGTTACCGTGTTCAATCTCCCTCCGCAGCCTGAGCCCGACTCCCGCCGCGTTATTAGCACTAATATTTATTCAAAGGGGAACAGTACATATTGTTAAGTATTGCATAAGTATGTTAATGAGGAGGAGTACTACTGCATATGTGAAAAGCATTTTGTTGCTCCAACAGGAACTGCCTGAAATCTGAGAAACAACTTCTATTTTAAACAGACTTATCTACTCAGAATCTCAATTCTGAGGCTGTTCTGGAAATAGTTTTCTAATAAATACCCATATCAACTTCTGGTTAGTCCCGCCCATTCAGAGTAAAGATACAAATAATAATAAATAAATAAAATACAGATCATTGAAGAGATACAGATAATCGTGCACTCTGCACAGAGCCGTTTTCATGCTAAGCTAATCTAACCGGCTGCTGCCTATATAGCTTAACATTGTACATACACACATATATTGTCTCATCTGACTGTATTTCTTTACACAGTCTCATTTAAACAAGTGGACCGATAACCGGTTGGCACAATGTGAAGGTAAAAGCTGCTTTGAAGTGACAAGTGTAATCATAGCGCTTCATCCCCTCGGCATCTCTCCTGCCGCTGTGTGATGATGCATCCGTTCACTTTCACCTGTCAAGACTTATTACATCATGCAAAAGCTCCTTGCATGAAGAGATTGTTCAAATTCATCCAAGGGAGAAATGACTGATAATCAGTGCTTCATCGTTCACCATCTCATACTGCAGTTTGAACTGACTGAGGTGAATAATAAGTGAAAGGAGAGCAGCCCTGCCTTTAATACAGGTATTCTTTAGTTTAGGATCCATTGCAATGTATTGAGGTACTGGAAATGGAGATCTGAAATCATTCTTTTTGTGT